GAGAATATTATATATATATATATATATATCATATCTCTTCATCTCACTCTTTTTGTGGCCAGATATTTTCCCTCTCTTTCCATATCTTTCCTATTGCTTTTCAATTAACTTAAAATCATCATGCACCAAGTATTTTTTTTTGCCCTTTTTTTTCCTTAAATTTCGAAATAATCTAAAACCAATAGTCATAATCATGAAGTTATTTAAAATTAATTTACGTAAAAAAAGAAAAGAAAATAGGACATTTTAGTAGCGTTTTTCATGTAAAAATCCATCAAATGTAAAAAAAACAATAGCTCTATCCCTTTTTTACTATACATGTTATAATAAAATGAACGGTATACAACAAAAGCATGGTAGGATACTTACGGAATTATGCACATTTGCCATATGCCCCAATATTTCAATTTTGTGCGAAGCACTGGCATTTCCTTCGTTTTCCAAAATATTCAAAGATTCCTGTAGCCAGAAAAGTGCCTGCTGCCACTTTTTAATTTCGTATGCCCGTCGTCCAAGAATGAAACAGTCTGCAACTACAATGAATGAATTTTATGAAGAGTGTAATTTGAGTTACCTTTTAAGACTAGTAGGGTGCTGTAATATATGCCGTGACCCACAAAGTGAATACATAGTGGTACTAGTAAATTTTTTGTCTAAAACCACACCACTATTTTATAAAATTTCAGGCGTAATTAGGTAAAATAAAAAACTATTGTTTTAATCAGGATGTTAGGCTCAAAATTTCATTGGTGCTTCACGGAGATTTTTGACTCGTCATCAACTTCATCGTCAGGCCTTCATGTCATGTGTCAGTCTTCAGTTGGAGCATTCATAGCACGTGAGTAGCTTTGTTCTTATTTTTTCGCCCAAGTTCTTGATCATCAATCAATTTGCCTCGCCGTCATCTGGAGCCCTGCGACTATGTTAACCCAACGATGTGCCCGTGGTGGGAAGAGGCGGATCGAAAGGTCCGTGCGGCAACCCCCACAGCTCCGTGATCCCTCATTGAGCCATTACAGTATAGAAGAAATCGATCAGCGAATTGCTACTCGTGTTGCTCTTCTTAAACTAGTGAAGGAGAATAATGCCTTTAACTCGGAGACACTTACTTCCTACGAGCAGGAACTCATCGACTTAGAGCAAGCAAGGAGTTTACGGTGTCCTGTGGAACCTCGTTCGACCACGCCCATGGAAGCGGAAAAGTCAAATCTGCCTGAAAAGACGACGGAACCCACAGAAACTATTTCTTCCAGCGAGCCTCAACTAGAAATTACCCAAATCGAGTCATCTACTGAGATAAGTATAGAAAAGGAGCCTGTTCTTAAAGTTTCCTCTCCCGAAAGACCGAGGAAGAGAAAAAAGAATAGCCGAAATGCTAGCGGAAACCAGGAGACCATTTCTACCCATCTTGGGTCAACACCTGAGATCACTTCATCCAAACCAGAATTGACAGAGCCTTCTACACCGACCAAGAACAATTACCTCCCGAGAAAACTTAAATTTCTCGTGCGAGGCCTTACAGTAGACATCCGAATGGAAGATCTTCGGAAAGATATAGAGGACAATGGTCGACGACCCATCAAGATAGAGCAACTAAGAAAGAGGCATGACAACGGATACAAGCTCCTCCCCCTTTTTCTAGTGATATTCCATGACTTCCCAGAACATCGGGACTTTATTTTCACAAAGAATCTTCTGTCCTTACCAGTCCAAATCGAAAAATTTAACGGAGGGCGTTACGCCATCCAGTGCTACAAGTGCCAAAAATTTGGACACACACAGAAAGCATGCTCAAGTGATCCAGCCTGCATGAAATGTGCAGGAGCACATTTTACCTACCAGTGCGTGAAACCTCTCTCCCTTCCGGCCAAATGCATTAATTGTCAAGGCGATCACCCAGCCTGTTTTACGGGCTGTGGTGCTCGTCCGAGGCGAAATCATCGCACCTTCACGCGTAGACCACAAGATGCCCCACGCAGTGCAGTGAAGTTCCTAAGGATCATTAAAGAACTTCAGGAACTTTTGAAAGACGAGAAAATCATCTCATTACTTATCTCCCTGCTCCCAGCCCTCAAGACGTAGGTGAGGAGCTTCACCATAAAGCTTGCTACATCTTTCATGATGCCTTTCATTATTTTATCGTATTTCAGGTTCTTTTCCGAACCACCAATACAACTTTCTTATGTATGTCCGTTTTGGGATATTTCATGATGAATGGGATAAGGGCCATTTAGGCCTCAGATGCCCAGTTCTAAAACAACGAACGAACGAATTGTTTTAATCAGCTCTTAATCAAGCCGAATCAAAATGAGACATAGATTTGATTTAGTTATAGGTCACGACAGCCCGAGGTGGGCCTTCACCGTAAGCACTCCGAATACTTTAAAATGCTGTTTTAACTACAACAAGTCCTAAATCATTTTAAATACATAATATTGTATTTTTATATAACCTTTAAAATTCTTAAATGCTTAATTATTAAATTCTTAATTATTCTTGTAAAAAAATTATGATTTTAAAGTGGTAACTGTAGATGACGCCTCAGTGGTAACACCGAAATGTGAAGGGTTAACATTCTCGAGAATGTTTCTCTATGTGACTTTAGTTGTCAAGTCTTGTCAGTTTAATACTTTGATTTTAAATCTGCCTTAAACCCGTTGACCCTAACGACCTAGTATTAGATTACATCTTTATGTTAATCTATATTCTCAGTTATTTTGGATTTTTAACTGTAAGGCAACTCTGAATATACTACTTACTTACAATACAAGCAATAATCGAAACACGGAAACAAAATTTGTTTAGTTGGATAACAGCATGTTTGCGATAAAGGAAATAAGTAAAAATGCTTCCAGACATTTGCGGTTAAAAGAGAAATGAATATTTCATAAGTTTTTAAAATATTATTTTACATAATTCCTTGCATTTTAAAATTATTCCAAAGTACAAATTACGCTCTTTATGCCAACTTCAGTATTTCTGACTGAAATTCTGTATTTTGAACTGAAAAAAATATTTTTATTTTACCTTATTGTAGCATAGTAACCAAGTATTAAAACAATTTTAAGTAGGTTGGTAAATGACAGAAAGTTATAATCTTTCATATTTGGAGTGTTTAGTGGAGGAACTAGGCATCACCTCCTACATCAGAAAGCCTCCACATGGTTTTTTATAAGAAGTCTGCGCAGATTATTTAAAAAGCGAACCACTTGTGTGCATGAACCCAAATTCTATTTTAAAAGTACTTGAGAGATATTTATCATATGTATTTGAGAATTGAATCTGTAGTGGTTGAGAGGTAAATAAAACAAATCAATTATATTCATAAATTAAAAAAATTTTCAGATATATATTTGCTACCACTTTCTAATTTTTAATGGATTTCATATTAAATGGTTCAGGGATGCTAGCTGGTCCGCTTTCTGGAATAATTTTAATAAAGTGGTAGCAAATTATATAGTAAATTTCGTTAAGGAAGGATAGTTACGTTTACATTTTAATAGAGTAACCGGTAGATAAGTGCTTTAACGTTGCATTTTATATGACACTTATAATTTTTGATATTTAGTGGTGAAAAAATTACTTTAAATGAAAAATAGTAAACAAAAAGTAACTTAAATTTCGCTACCACTAGAAAATACTATTTTAGAAAGCGGAACAAGTTGGGATCCCTGCACTTTCATTCCAGATCTTTCGTAATGAGACTTTTAAACTGTTAACAAAATTACCAAAAATATAAAAAGTTTTGGCTTTTAAATGTTTATCACTCTGTAAAATATTTTATAACAAATATAGTAGTTGGCAGACTGGCGTATACATGTAGTGGAGTGGAAAATAATTGTAAATCAAATTTACAAATTGAAGAATAATATATTAAAGCACAAACTTAGCTAAAACTTTTTTTCACGAAAGCGTAAAAAGTTGGAAGTTCTGTGGGAGCATACTCAAAACTGATGAGGATTACAGGGCTATTATATTCCAATTTTTGTTTTATAAAATCAGTATTGAAGATTTCACACTGCGAAAAACGAAATAAAAACATATTTTTAGCAGGTGTGAATTCTTCAAAGTATGCATATTTTTCAAAATTTAGATACCACTTTAAAACGATAATCAAATATAACCTGTCTGAAAAGCGATAATCAACAAAAAAAAAGTGCCACAAAGATCAAGTTGAAGATGAATGGAAAAAGAGCCGCAAGCGGTCTCAGGTGCCCAGCCCAGTTGTTTCATACCGTTCAGTTAAAAAAAAAAAAAAGATAATCAAATATAATCTGACTAACTGGACCTGTCTATTGACGTGTAATGACTTAATCAAAATATAAACTGTGTGAAAAAGTAAAGAAAAATCGAAGAGATATAAACTTAAGTAGAAAACTAAACAAGAATCAGCCTGAAAAATATTACAAAAATTCCTACAATGGGAAATTTCTTCACAGTTTTCATATATATATGTTACGAGCGTTGCATTTAGCCAACATCCGTGCGATGCCTAACGTGCACGAGCACCGTATTTAACCGACCATTACGCAATAACCTGCATGTACGAGCTCTGTATTAAGTTAGCGTCTGCGTGATACTGTTTGATAACTGGCCCAATCTGCTTCAAATTGCCCTTGGCCAATATTCCATTGACCGAAATTGGATTAATACTGCTAAAACTATGTTTTGAATGCGCTTAATATGTAAGTCGATTGCATTTTTATTTTTTATACTTGCATAATCTTCAAATACAACACTTAAACAAGAAAATCCGAACATCAGCGTACTGACATTTAATGAGCATACTTCGCTGAGCGGTGCTCTGTTCAATGGCGTCACGCCAGCGGAGAGGACAGCTGTAAAAAAAGGCTTAAGTAGTTTACAATTTGAGAAAAAATTATGAATTTAGAAGAAAAATAAAATGACACAGCTAATTACCCGTGAGTTCAGCAGACAGTGTGGCTCCTGCAATCTGACCTCTAGCCATATCTAGAGTATTCAGAGAATAAAACTCCTGCAGTCTTATTAAGGCGTCAGCTGCTCCGATTAAATCGCTCTCTTCAGGATAAATCATTACCTGACTCGCTTCTTTTCTAAATAGATCTGAAAATTTAAAATAATTTTTTTCTTAAGAAAATAATGTTTATTTATCTCCTTATATTTAATGCCATTCCATAAACGCAAGTTAAATCTCTATTAAGGAGCTATATCACCCATTGAGGGGCATGTTTCTCAACGAGGGGAACATGCCCCCCCCCCATTAGTGGACATTTTAATATTAAAAAAGTTATTATAGCCGGGATGACTAAGAGGATAGATGGATTCTCAGTGAAGTGTCCCGATTTCGAATCCGGGTTACAACAGCAGAGATGCCAACTGCTCCGGACACGCCAAAATAATTAAATAAACGGTAAATAACTACAAAGTAAATTTTGCAAATATTTGACTATTGTTGCTTGTTTTTTAAATGGTATAGCATGACACATGTCATTAAAGTGGTGAATTATATAAGCCTACGAATTATTTGGAAATAGTGGTGGATAAAAATCTACTAAATCGAATTTATTAAACCAAGAATCACAATTGATAAACTGCCACTTTAAAATATATATTTGCTGTCCGGAGCAAGTTGGCATCTCTGCAACAGGTAAATTAGTATACTAATTCCAAACAGCACATTCCTAAGTATTGAAGGAAAAAAATTCCCTGAAATAAATGTAAAGAGGATCGAAGTTTCCATGCTGTTGTGTTAACTAAGGAAGGTTTTCTCTCTTTTGTCACACAAATGCGGCGTAGTTTCACTCAACAAATACTTCCACATAGGTTAATTTGCCAGATTGTTTGATGAAGAGGTTTCTTTGTTGTATTTTGGGTGGTATACAATCCGAGACTATGAAGTCGAACATTAATATACCGGAAAATAAGTTGTGAATCAGCTGCTGTTCAATCGATGGTAATGAAATAATTTGCAAGAAGGTGATTATAACTTTTTTTATATGCTGAATAACTTTTTATAGGGCTTCATTAATCACCCTTTTTTCGTAAATTAAAAGCTGTACATTTGAGAATACAGGAACGTTTTTAAAGTGGAACTTTTTTTTATGGGGACAAGAATGTGAGTTAGGTAAGTTGGTGCTTGAAAGTAGAATGTACCATTATATACACCCTATTAGGAGGGGTCACCAATTGGAATGTAATCGATCATTAGCGGAAAATCCCTCCTTCAAATGAAAATCATTAAAATCACTAAAAAATAATCTGTTTTCTGGTATATTTATAAATTAATGCAATGCAGTGGGGGAGATCACAAATGTCCATCAATCATTAATAAAAAGCATTTTTTTTTAAAATTAACATTAATGTTGAATCATAATGGGAATAACATTCTTCTTACTGACATTTTAAAAACAAGAATGCACCGCTCTGGTATTAGATGGAGAAAAATCAACCTAATTATTTTATTTCTGGCTTTGAACAGCCAATCCAATTCAGAGTTTACGGTTATCGACTTTCAACTTCGTAGTCTTGTAATCTTGACCCCAATCAAGAAGACTAGGAGGCCCCTGGAACAGGCTAACCTTCTCGGGGGACTTTTTGTTGAAATTAACCCACACTTGTATTACATGGAAAAGAAAACCATGAAATCCTATCATGATTTGCTTGATGGCAAGGAATTTTTTCCCATGATCCGTCTACCACTGATTACATTTTATATCAGCACCGTGATCGGTGCCCTCTGAAAGCATAATTTGTGAAAAATCTTCCTAATCTTGATACAGCTTTTGCTTAGACATAAACACCCCAATTCTTCTACTTCGTATTGTAAACTTAATACTATATAACTTTTTTGCTCCGTTTTCTAGAAAATTGCTAACATCCTCCCACGTTTTCGATACAAAATCAGTTTTAGGCCTGTTTATAAAATCCATTTTAAGTCCCTTAAAATTCTTACTCACTACACCAGACGAAACACGCTTAAAAATTTAGATTAAGAAAATACGAAAGATATTTCTCTCATTAAGAATTCGATAAACGCGGTAGCATCGTAACAGATTAATGTAAAACTGTTAGAAGAAGTTCGAGGAAATAAAATATTCAAACTGATTTAAATATCCAAGCTTGTTTGTCAATTAAATGAGCCTTACAATTGATCAAATTAATTCCGAAAATTTGACGCTAAACTATAGCCTATAAAATTTAGATATCTAAAAAAGACTTATGCCTAAATTAAATTCGCTTATTTGAAAATAAAACTGAGTTAAAGTAATTGGTATTTTACTATTGACAACACTGGAGAACTCTATATACATGTATATGTGGGTGTGTGTGTAAAGACCCCAATTATAGTTATTCTTCATCCAGAAATATCTCATTTATCATAAGGGATGTGTCCTCATGAAGACCTTCACATTTTCCAATTAAAAGTTTTTCTATTTTATTTTATTTTAATTTTCTTCTTCTTCTTTGTGTTTATATAGAATTTTTATAATATATACATAACCAGCATTGTTTAAAATTCACTCGAGTGAAGTATATCATAAATGTTCCCACTTCTATGCTGCGTCGGGAGTGGTAGGAAGAAGTCCACAATACATTTCTGTTTATGATGTGATACGTTTTTGTCTTAGGAGTTATTTTTAACTTAGAATGTAAGTGTATATGTATGTATATAGATCTATATGTTTTTCATAAACTTGTACATGCAGGCAAAAAATAACTAAGGTAATAAATACCATTTTGAAAATTATTTGTAACTGTCGGAACGAAACTAATTTCAGATTTAAAATCGCTACACCTAAATTAGGTAACATCAAGTTCTTGCATAAATACATTAAAAAAATTGTTCCCCAGTGTAAATGCAAAATTAAGATGTTGGGAATAAGCTGACAAATCATATGGATTGACGTCGTAGAGAATTTAAATTTATTCAAAAATAATTATGATATTTACGGATATACGCTTTTTTCAAGTTTATTTTTTAGAAAGAGTTTTGCCATTTGCCTTTACATTTTATGTGTATTGTTTATAAGTTTTTTTGATTACACTAAAACTTCTCTGTTGCTCCGGGGTATACAAAAAAATCTACCCGAGTTACGTTATATCATTTAAATATTAAGTTTCAAATTTATTAAGATAATTATCATTCACTCAGTATTATAAGAGGTAGAAAATAACGGTGATTTATTAACAGTTACAAAAAACATGGATTAAATATTTTCATAATGGCAAACATTCTGTATATAATACTTACCTTTGGTATAGGATGACTCAACTAACTGGTATGTTTCATACAAATCGGTCGTTAGCCTTTTTATTAATAGGTATGCATTCACAGGATTCCATAAGAACTGTTCTACATTTCTTTTGGCCAATTCATGTACTCGTCCAAACTGTTCTCTTTTCCTTCAATAAAAACAATACTTAAATAATTTTTTAGCCGACACATTTATATTTTTTTAAACCGAAAAAAGCATTTGTTTACAATATACGAGTCTTTTTATATTTTATTTTATAACCGTCGTTGAACAGCCAACCCAATTTTTGGGTTTACGACTACTTATGTTCAACTCAGTAGCTTTGTAATTTTGAACACAATCCAGAAGACAATTGACCTTCGCAGAGGAGAAATAGGCCTTCGTAGAGGATTTTCTGATAGAACTAACCCTTATTATCTTTTAATCGTTGCATTTGTGGTACATGGAGAGGAAGACCACGAGAACCTCCCACGATTAGTCTGACGGAAAGGGGACTCTAACCCATGCTTCGTCAACAACTGAGGATATTTCACGTCAGCGTTGTGGTCGGTGCAAGCTGGATGCGGAATTCGTATCGGCCAACCATGTTTGGGATTCGAATCCGGTTCACCTCATTGGAAGACGAACGCTCTATCCCCTGAGCCATCGCGACTCAATACATGATTCGTAAGGTTCCAAAGCGATTACTTTTCGGAATTAATTCCTGTTTGTTTTTAATTTTTTGATTCGAAATTCATAGTTGCCAACGTGAGAAAGACTTTGAGAAATGGAAATTAATCAATAAGACCCACAACGGCTCAGTAATTAATATTTTGACGCAGATGGGACAGTGGTATCTCTTCTGACGCTCTAATTACAAATAAAAACATTTTTTAGTATTTTTTCAATTATAAAAAGCACTTAAATACTTATTAAAAAATCTGTTTGATTATCGGAATTATATTTGTACTAAAATATAAAATCCAAAAAAAAAGTAGTTCGAAAAAAAAATAGTTTCATTCATATTCAAAAATTTATCGATATTTGATTTCGTAAATTTAAGAAATTTCAATGATGAATAACTGTTTCTCTTAGATCTAAATAACTGTAAATAAGTGCAAATGTGAAAAAAAAAATTTGAAAATGAGTCGTGTTTTGAAGATTTTACCTTTAATTCAGAAAAAGACGCTGGTGGTTCATGTTGATTTCATAATCATAAATTATTAAAACTCTAAATATAATATTTCTTCAGTTATTTTGATCTAAATTGATTAATTGAAACAAAAAGTGTAAAAAATAAGTTTTTTGAAAAATGTTCTGCATTGAACTGTTACTGTGAAGAACTAAGGTTCAATCATTACAGGTGGCTTGAAGTTTACCCAGCTTTGGATCGATACGTATGAGCTTGTCTGGGAAGTAAAGGTGGCTTGAGCGCAGTGCTGACCACATTGCCATAATTATGCCGTTGATCATGAAATTGAGGAGTCTTAACCTCCATGACCCATCTGAAGAATGATTTAATTTAATTAATTAATAATCAATGTTGAAAAAATATCTGAAAATTATGCTATTTTATCTACACTTAACAGCATAACTGCCTAACTATTAGCTGTTGTAAACTATTGTTTCAATTATTATTCTGTTCTGTTTTGTGGGTTTTTTTATGAATATTTAAAAGTAACAATTACACATGAAAATATAAATATGCTCCCATGAAGAAACATATAGGGAATGTACGAAAATTAAAAACGCTCTTCAGGATCAATAAAAGGCGATAATTATGAAAAGATATTATTAAACATACTTTTAATTTTTAAACGTTTATCTTTTACATTTATTTTATAATTTATGATTTAGATATTAATTGCTTTACTTATTTTATTCTTTATTACTTACTATTTTTCTTACAAACAATTTTGCAATAGCAAGAGGTGATATTTGAAGTTCTTGAAAAAGTTGATTTTGTAACCATTGTATAACTTTTAAGTTCATTTTATTATTATTAAAATTATAAATGAATTATTATTTTAATATTTCGTAAATAAAGAAAACCCTTTTTGAAAATTAATGAAAGATGATATCTAACAAAAGAAGCTATCAATTGTGCTCAGGCATATACTCAATTATTTTAAAATGATGTTTATCAAATTTTTTTTCTATTTGCTTTACCTGTTTTTGAAATGGCATTTAATTGCTTAACAATAAGGCTTTCAATTAATAATCACCAAAGGTGATGTTTAAAATTTTTAAGAAATCAACCTCCAAATTATCGTAAATTTTTTTTTTTTTTGAGAAATAAAAAAAATCGAATGTAAATTTTACCTTTTTAATTGCTGTAATCTTTCTTCTTCAGTTTCAAGATACAAATCTAATGAATTTAGAACATTTTCTTCAGTTACTATCAATTCTTCTAAATCAGACACAGCTGTATAAAAATGTAGTTTAACAGTTCGAAATAGAAAAAAGAAAAGAAGGCACACATATCCTGCATGGGCATCAAATAATCTCATAGTTCAACTGAAAAAAAGAATTATGGGAAGAAATCAAGATTGAAAAAAAAATTTTAATTTAAAAGCAAAAATAGATTAAAAATGTTCATTGTCAAAAGTTATTGACATTATCCATTTACAGGAGAATTTGTACCCCTGATGCGCATAAGCGGATCCTATTAATAAATTAAATTAAAAGACGCTTAATAATATTAATAAATTAAATAAATTAAAAGACGCTTATGAAGGTGCTTTTCGTTAAAATGTCATGTTTTTTAATTAATTAAGATGAAAAGTTTGAAGTATAGTAAAACTTATAATACTTTATATATTTTTGAGCCGCTGTGGTTGAGTACTTAAGGCACTGAACTATTAAAAAACTGCGGTTCGATCAACAGTAGTGGCATCAACAATGAAGGAATGATGCGGCACCAACAGTGGTAAAACTTCTCCCCCAGGTTCAAATCGATGGGTATAAGTAAAGGCGGGCTGTGCGCACCATATTGCCTAAATAATGCCGATGGTCACAAAATTGTTTAGCCTTAACCCCCTCTAACCAACGCCTCTTATAACTGAAAGCCTCCACACTGTTTCTTATGGGCAGTCCGATCAGAGCACTATGAAAATAAACTAGTTTTAAAAAGAGAAATTTTGTATAAAATCTAGTAAAAATAAAGAATGGTAGCAAATGCATTCTAATTTTTTTTAAATTTATGAATATTATTGTTTTGTCTTATTTACTTGTCAAATAATACAGATTCAATTCCCAAATATACATGATAAATGGTCCCGCAGTGGACTGATCGTTAAGACACGATTTCCATCAGATCACCGAAGTCAAGCATCACTGGCTGCGATCAGTGTGCGGGTGGGTGACCACTTGGATTAGTCTGCGTAGGGACCGAGGGTGTGCGGTATTGGTCCTCGTTAAACTGTGCTACCGTAAAGTGCTCGACTTCGCGTGCAGGTCGTCGGGCTACCGAAGCGGGGGTGCCATCCCCTCCGCAGAGGATCAAAATTGT